GAGTGATATGATCAAAGGAACTGAGGGCCAAACACATAGTTGAAAGCCATTGTAAGGACTTTGGCTTTTACTCTACAAGAAATGAGAAACCATTGAAGGGTTTTAGAGTAGAAGGGTGATGTGATTTGACAATATAGCACTATCACTCTGATTGCTGAATTATACGTGGGCAAGATGGAATAGGGAGAATCAAAGAGAGAATTGGTAGACTTTTGTAATGATGGTGTCCTGTAGAGTAGTTGGTATCAGGGAGTGGTGAGAAGTAGTTGAATTCTGTATATGTTTTAAGGTAGAACCCACAGGTTTTTCTACCAGAGAGGAACATGAGAAAGAAGGGAATCAAAATTTATGGTTCACTGATTTTTACTTCAAAGATATAGTATATCAGGAAATACATTCAAATTCATTTCTTTCCTATCAGGCCAGATCCAAAATTCTTAGGTGATTTCACATGTTAAAAATATTGTCCATGGTAATTAATAATGATGATAATAATACCCAACCTATTAATCCAACTATATCTTGAGGCACATTTCCCTCAATTTATACATGTAAACAAAAATGTGATTAATAACTGACAGCTTCCCTAATTTTTGTCCCCCTTCTAACCTAGGACCAATCAGAAAAAGTCAAATATGCCCCCCCCCAACCATATATAGAATTTCCTGCTTCTAGTTAGTCCACCTATATTTTCCCTATGCCAACAGCCTCCAATCAGAGCATACCAGAAGCCTTTCTCCTTTTCTCCTATAAAACTTCCCCACTTCTCTGCCTTCCTTGAATCTGTGTTAAGTCACCAGTGATGGTGGCTGACTCCCTTGCTACAGCAAACTCAGAATAAATAGCCTTTGCTTGTTCTCATGTGGTTAGTTTTATTTATTTCCACAGGGATGGTAGGTCAAGTTTCCCAGGAAATGGACATTCAATTGAAGGCTTGAGTGTGAGTTTATTGGGAAAACTCTTGAGATCATCCCCTGTGAAGGGGATGTTGGGAACAGGACTAGGCAGAGGGAGAAGCTGAATTGGGACACAGTTGCACTAGCGGCTTTAACCAATCCTATGAGGAGCTTTCAGTCTGGGATGGCCCTTTAGAAATGTACCCTGGCCTGGATCTGTCATTGGATGCAGGTCACCATTGAGAAAGGAGAGGGACCTTAGGTGAAGCAGGTCTCCTTAACAAAGCAGGTCCAAGGGAAGATCTAGCTGTGAACTCTCAGCAGTCAGCACTATTGGCAGCTGGGGAAGGAGAGCGTGGCTCCCCTGGTGGGAGGGAAGATTGGTGACCCCACTAAGTGCACTGTTGGCAGCAGATCAACTCACCTTTGAATCTAAGTTTAAAGCTCTTTTCACTACATCATAGCTGTCTTCACTCAAAAAAAAATGACAAATGGAGATTTTTGTGACCACTCATTTTCTTTCCTCCTAGTCTAAAACCAAGACCATATTTGTAAAGTGATTCTGACATTTTTAGTAAGTGATGTTGAATATAGCCATTGCCTCAATTGAATATGGCATTTAAGAGATCTGAAATAAGACCCGACCAACCAAAGTAGTTAGCTGAATTACCACATGTGGACACGTATATCAACTTAATATTAAATGTTTCTCTCTCGGAATAGAGCAGGACATTGTTATATCCAGCTTTTCAGCCCAAGAAACTACAAATTGAAAATAAATTGATACGAAATAGTATCACTCCCACTTTAAGGATATTGATTCTCCAGAAGAAATTATTGTCTTAATTAAAATCCTAATAAAATATGTCTTGAAATTTACTAAACAATTAATGTATTCTTTCAGAGAATCAGGTTCCCTACCTTACTTCCTAGTGTTATATGATTATTGCAATACTTTGAGCTTTATTTGACCTATTTAAACTCAATAGCTCTTTTTTGGTTTTACAAATAAATCAGCCAATACTGTATCCAGCAATACCTGAAGATGATTTTAAAAAATACACCAAGCTCTGCCTAAAAATTGGTCTGAATTGTCCCTTTACCTGTAAACAAGTCTAGCTGTGACTTTAAAAAAATCTGTCTGTCAGCATATCCTTTCACTGCCAGTAGACCTTTTGAATATATTACTCATTGTTGCCAGAACTCTGGCTTTTCCCTTTGTGTATGTACTGGAAATCCCCTCACTCATCCCCCAGCCTCCTCCTCCCCTCCAAAGTGAGTCACTTCTTGGTAGCCTTGTATGGGATCTCAGCCAAATTGTAATCTCAGGTAGCTTTTGCACATTACATTGCATAGCGGTTCTTAAACTTTGAGTCCTAAACACTGTCAGGGGAAACTATTAAAACAGAAGATAGTAGAAACTCATCCTTGATCCAGAGAGTCCAAATTTCTGGAGGAGATGTGCAGACAAATGTATAATTATAATTAAGTGTCTCTTTGTGGAATTCTGTTAAACATCCTGGCTTGAGAACCACTCAGAAGGAAACTTCACATTTCTAGGAACAGATATAGATTCCTGGCTGTAGATGATCAGGCTACAAGTGGCATTTGGCACTGATTCTTTTCTACAATTGTATATATAACTAAAGGCCTGGTGAACAAAATTCATGAACTGGTAGAGGGGTCCCTCAGCCCGGCCTGTGCCCTCTCGCAGTCTGGGACCCCTCGCAGGTGCCCCTGGGGATCGGGCCTAAGCCGGCAGTCAGACATCCCTCTCACAGTCTGGGGCTCTCACAGTCTGGGACCCCTGGCACCTTACCACCCACCTGCAGTGGAGGCAGGAGAGGCTCCCGCCACCACAGCTGCACTCGCCAGTGTGAGCCTGGCTTTTGGCTGAGCAGCACTACCCATGTGGGAGCACACTGACCACCAGGGGCAGCTCCTGCATTGAGCGTCTGCCCCCTGGTGGTCAGTGTACATCATAGCGACCAGTTGTTCCTCTGTTCAATCAATTTGCATATTACACTTTTATTATATAGGATAGAAGTCTAGGAAAATTGAAACAATAGGGTGGCTTTCCCAAGCAGTAAGACATTTGTATGATAAGGCCTATCAGAATGGAAAGATTATAAATACAAAGATTAATGACTGATATGGGAATGATTGCTGTGGAAGAATTGGAAAGACCTGATTATTTCGGGAAGGTTAAAATAAAAAGATCATAAAGGAGTTGAAGATTAATTCAAGGGAGTGAGAAGATGGCACTGGAAAAATGGCTATGATGGAAATTATTGAACAAATATTGAATGAGCACTGGATGAAATGATGGGAAGCTCACAAAGATAAGAACACATAATTTAATTTACTTCAACAGGTATTTCTTGAGTACCTGTTATATGCATGGCATTGTCCTAAAATGTACTAAGACGTGGTGCCAAAATTTGCATTTGTATTAGATTCAGATGGGGAGACTTTTTTAAAAATAAAATTCATGGACCTCATATTAGCGCTATTGGATCTAAATATCTGGGATTGGAGTCAGAAATCCCTAATGTATAAAGCTCCCCAAGTGATTCTGATGCATGTAATCAAAGGACCACTATTTGGGAATCCCTTATACCAGAGACCGAAAAATGAATGGGGCACAGTGTTTGTTTTTAAGGGATGTACAAAGTGGTATATTGAGCAATATGCTCCACCAACTTTCTTGACTGCCTTATATTCATGGCTTCTGTTTTATTCATGATGTGTCTTTTCTCTGAAATGCCTTTTCCTCCTCTCTGCCATGAAATTATTCCCCATCCTTCAAGATCTATTCAAATGTGAGAATTGGAACCGTGTTCCATAATTTTCCTGTCACCACTCGTCCAACCTCACATCCATTACACAACCAAATAGAAAATCTACCCTTAGATATTCTTCACCCATCATCTCCTTTTCATCCCCATTCCCACCCCTTTAGCTCATCTGGACCACTGAATGGCCATTTAACTGATCTTTCATCTCCATCTGCCCTCCTACCACAATTTATTTTTTATGGTTCTATTAATCTTGCACAGTTCAATTGTAAACAGGAAACAATTTACTGTTTTCAGTAAACAATTTAGCATTTTTATATTGAAAATAAAGGTTACTATGTCCTCATTACCTACAAAGTTTGGGCTAGAAATGTTCCAATCTTACATTCAAAACTACTGCATCAATTAGACTTCCTTTGATTATAAGCAACAAAACCAACTCTGGCTAGCTTAAGCGGAAAAAGATATGGACTAGTTCACCAAATTTAAGTTCCAATCATTTCCCTTCTTTGTATGATTCTCAAGATTCTCATTCTTAGAGATTTTCTGATTCAACATATTTCCAACTCTTCTTAATAGGGCAACGGGGGACATTGACTGAAAGACCACCTAGAATTATGTTCA